CGCCGCGCCCCGCCTGGACTTGCTACCGGAGGGGTGGGAAGGGGCGGCGCCACTCCTCGCTCCCGCCCCTTCTCCCCTCTTCTCTCCTCGGTCCACTGCGCCCTCCACCCCTCCCCGCGCTGGGGCCTCTCCTCCCCCTCCCCTTCCCCACCTCCCCCTCTCCTGCCCAGTGTCCAGGCGGCCCCAGGAGGCGGCGTCAGGCGCGGAACTCCGAACTCGTGGACACCAGGAGGACGGTGAGTGGCAGGGCCAGGGTGGTGAAGGGGATGAGCTGTCCTGAGGCCTGTGTCTCCCCACACTCCTGGGGCAGGGGGTGTCTCGCCCGTGCCTCTGGTCCGCTGGTGGCCGCATGCCTCCAGCCGCCTCCGGTGTGGACCATAGGGGTGGGCCTCCGAGGCCACGTCTGCCATCCAGGACTCCAGGGGGAAGGGGGGGAGGTGACTCCCGTGGTCCCTCCTGAGGACTCTCCCCAGTGTCCCTGGTGTCCTGTCACACCCCACAGGTGTCACCCACCAGGTGGCTCCTGCTAGGGCCCTGCGAGTCCCTTCTAGAACCTCTTCCTCTGGTGTGGGACAGGCCTGGTATCGGCACTGCCGGCCTTAGCGTGGCTGTGGGGGTGCATCTCAACCTGCATCTCTAACGTCCTGGCTGGTTCGGGCCAGTCCCAGCTGTCCAGTCCAGGAGACTTGCTGCTCCGCGTGGGCGTGCGTTCCCCCCGGAGCACCTCACCTGCTCAGGTGCCGCCTCTGCTCCCACCTGAGCCGGACACTCGAGTGTCAGGTGGGGAGGGCACGGCGTGGGGGAGTCTTTCCTGGAGCAGTTCCGGGTCCTGCGGGACACCTCCCACCCACCCTGGCAGCCGCAGCTGCTCGGCAGGGCCCTGGCCAGACCAACCTGCAGGAGGGCCGTGGGTGGCTGGGATCTGAGGCCAGCAGATGGGGCAGGGCTGGCCACAGAAGCAGAAGTGCCCCCTCAGGGCTGCTTGGGGGCATGGAAGGCTCACTTGGCCTGGTGCCTTGGGGGCGGGGGGCACTGGTCCTGGGGAGGAGCCCCAGAATCTGCAGACCAAGGAGATGGCTGACAGCCTGGGGTCGCCTGAGTTCTGCCACTGTCTCCTCATGAGTTGAAGAGGACCCCACCCTGTCACCTACCGGGGTGGCCAAGGAGGGAGGCTCCTGTACCCTGAGTCCTGGGTGGGCGAGCAGAGGGGCGGCAGGAAGAGGCCCGTCAGGCTCTATCTTGGGGCTGGCTGTAGCGCATGCTCCTGAGGGACTGTCCTCCCCCTCTGGGTGCTGGCCTCTGGGCCTGGGCGGGCTCGGGTCACCCCTGTCTTTCATGACATGAGGGTACTGGGTACAGCTGCCCCAGCTGCCTCAGAACTGTGCGGGACCAGCGATCGTGGGAGACTGCGGGGAGGGCGGAGGGTCTACAGAGCCAGGAGGGCTCAGGTGCCCCTGCTGACCTCTCCAGGGAGCACGGAGGCCTCCTTTTCCCGTGGAGGTAGGGATTCTGGAAGTCGGGTCACAGGTGGTGGGTTTGCAGACTGCCGTGTGAGGGAGCCTGGAGACAAGGGGTTCTCCAGAAGGCCGGCCCCTCTGACTGACGGCAGTCCTTTGCCTGAGGTGGGGCCCGGCTGGTGGAGTGGGGGCGCCCAGCCAGCACCTGCACCCTCTGCCTGCCTGTGCCAGTGGGGGGCTCTGGGAAGTGGCGCACAGTGGTGCAGGAGTGACGGACGGGGTTCCAGTGGCCGTGCCCAGCTGGGCACCTGCAACAGGGGCTGCGTCGCACCCTTCCCGTCAGCGCATGGGGCCACGGTAACGTTCTTCTGCGGCAGGTGGGAGATGCCACAGCCTGCATGGCGTGACTGTGACCCTGGGTGGGGGTTCTCTAGGGGCACGGCTCCTGGGCCCCGCTCACTGGCCTGGGCAGGGGCCCGTCCCGTGTCCCGGGTGCACACGTGTGGGGCTTTAACACCCACTCACATTTGCCTCTGGAGAAGGGTGAGGACGGCAGGCCCGAGGGGACTCGAACACTAAAAGTCGCTTGACATTGAAGCCCGACTCACAGCCTGTCTGCAGGGCCCGTCTTCCGACGGGGGCTGGGCGAGGGGTCCGTGTGCGAGGCCAGCAGAGGCAGCGTCCGCAGCTGCTCCGAGCACGGCCAGGCCCTCACAGCAACCTTCCGGTCGTCCCGTGCATGGGTCACTCCACCCCAACTGGGCGGGCGTGCCCATATGGTGCCTCCCGGCTGCCCACTACAGGCCTTTCAGAGCTGCGGCCCCAGGAGGACACGGGACACAGCGGGGGTGCCACGAAGCCTGGCCGAGCCAGGGTCCTGGCCAGATCAGGGACCCACCCCTCCTAGGCAGCCAGAATCGCTGTGGAGCCCAAGGGACCAGCCTCACCCGGCCCCACAGAGGTGACTGCAGTGGCCATCATAGGAGCCTCGCTGAGCGAGTGGGGACTTTGGGGTGTCTCGGTGAGATTTTGGAGGTAACTCCTGTTGGAGGCCATCCGCCCCCTGGTGAGCCCGCCAGGGAGTTGTTCAAGTCCCGATGTTGGGGGATAGCTCCCTGAGCCCAGCGAGACAGCCTTTGCGTGGGCCTCGCCTGGCCTCCCTGGGCACCCGGCCCTGGGCCCCCTCTGCTCTGGGCAGGGCAGAGCCCCAGCCCGCTGCACACCCCAGCCTGGCTCCCCTTCTCAGGCCGCGTTGTCCATGAAGCCTCTTCATTAGCATCTCTGCCGCGAACCCTGTGTCGGGGAAGGGACCACGCAGCCCACCCGGGCCACGTGCCTGGCCGAGGCAGACCTGAGGGTCGCGGGGCCAGGGCCTTACTCTGCTGCCCAGGCGGTTCCTGGTTAGCGGAGCGGACCGCTCCCCCGGCAGTGCAGCCCCTTGGGCCCGCCTACCCCCTCCATGCCACCTCCTGCAGCCCTGCCACCGGCCTTCCTATGAGCCTGCAGGACGCCACTCTCAGGCCCCCAGTGTGGGGTTCAGTCACCCTGTGGGGAAGCAGCTCCCCAGACAAGCTCCAGGCAGTGCCCCGGGCCCAGGCCCTCGGCAGAGGCTGACCCCTCCAAGGACAGGGCAGTCGGGGCCCCTCCGGGCCTGCCCCCCACA